GAAGGCCGAAAGGTTGCATATGCTAAACATGTACGGTTTCCGTTCAGACTTGGTCGATCTTCGCCTCTTGGAGCTCTGTTGGGAGGACTCTTGAGGCCTCTCGGGCCGTCTTGGGGTCCTCTTGGGCCCTTTGGAGGCCATCTGGAGCGTCTTGGACCGATCGCTCGGCGACTCGGGGCCCTCTTGGACCGTCCGAACGGCCTCTTGGGGCCCTCCTGGCATGTCTTGGGGCCCTCTTGGGGCTCTCTGGGGCCGTCTTGGACCCCCCTCGGGCGCTCGCGACTCCGCCCCCCCGCCAGGCCCGAAATCAAGGCAGATCCGCTTTCTATGTGTACAGGTACTCATTGTATTAGTACAGCTAAAACGCAGGATGGTTTTCCCGTTTGATTTTCCTTATGCTTTTTCAATCCGAAGGTTTTCGGTCCTTCCGAACTGGTGCTCCCGCTGCAGCGGGGGGCCACATTTTAGGATCGGGTTCTTGCTTCCGCCGTTCAGAATGGCGCTCTCGCCCTAGCGCGGGCCACTTTGTTGGATCCGAGTCCTTCGTCATCATTGTCGCCCCATTCCTTTCCCCTCCCCCGCCTTCCCCTGGTCCTTCTGCTCTTCCCGCTCCTTCCGCACATTCGACACCTTCAGCGTTCACTTCTTGAGGAGCGCTCATGGAGTTCACTTGGTCCATCTTTTGGCTGTCTTGGGCTCCTTTAGGGCAGTCTTGGGGATATTATTGTGTCGTCTTGGGGCCCTCGTATGTCGTCTTGGGCCTCTGTTGGGCCGTCTTGGGCCATCTAAGAACCTTCTGAGGCAGTCTTGGGTCTCTCTGGAGGCTCCCTCAGGCCGTCTTGGGGCCGTCTTGGTACCTCTTGGGCCATCATGGGGTCTTCCTGGGCCGTCTTCAACACCACATGGCGATCAGCGATTTTGGCCTATTCGGGCCCTGTTTGAGGTCCTTTTGTGGTCCTTCTGGACGCTCTTGAAGACATTTTGGGCCGTCCCGGAGGCGTCTTGGACCATTTTGGCGGCCTTAATCGCCTGCCTCAGCCGTCTTGTGAGGTCGGGAGCGCGGACGCATTGTTTTTGTCACGACGGATCGTTGCCTCGGGAGGGGCGTCGATGCATGCAGCTGGTGCTTGGAGAGGCGGGGTGGTCAGTTAGAAGATCGCAGCCCTTGGCATCCTACCACGCCTTAGCCTGCCAGGGGGCACGGTGGCGGATAGTAACACTCACTGTCGCGCCATCAGGCGTTTCGGTAAGGCGGTCTGTTCGTTTAGTCGGAGGTGACTTCACCATTGCTGTCGTACACGGATGGAGGTCGGATCCTTTTCAAAATTAGGCTCTCTCCCTGACGCCTTGCACCTTCGTCTCTGAAGCGTGTGCCAGTTACAAGGACGAAGGGGGATGGGCATCTCGTCTTGGGCCCCCCCTCCCGCACCCGTCCCGAACGCTGGCAGCAGTCACAGGGACGGAGGGCGCTCCCTGAGCTTTCAGCAGATGCGAGGACGAAGGGCGGCTGCTTTCCAACACGGGGCTCTCGTCTTAGTGCCGCGCGCATGGGTCTCGCACACTTGAAGCGCGCACGGGAATGGAGGGCGGCTCCTTTTCTTGTCTGTAAGCTGTGACTTTCGTCTCTAACATGCAGCAGTATAAGCTTAGCCATGTGGATGGATGGTGGTTCCCTTTCAGAGTTGGGTTCTCGCTGGAGGGCTCTCGCTCGAGACTTCTTCCTCTTGTCGTGACCAGGGTTTCATGCACAACGATTGCTCGGATGGGGGGCGTATCCTTTTCAAATCGGGGCTCTCACCGGACACTTCCTCAAACAGTATCATCCTTATTCGCATTGTTTGTTACAACTCGCTAGAAGGATGCAATGCAGTTTTGGCTCCGAAAACGGGGCTCTCGCCTGAGTGTCTTTCAGTGGCAAGGGAGACTTGCAGGGGCTCGAACCTTGAAGTTCGGACCTCCTCATCCTTCTCGGGGCTAGGTCATCGTGTGGTGTTGGTTGAGACCCCCACAGCTGACAAGCACTGGAACCTTCCATGTTGGAAATCAGCCGCAGGTCCATTTTTTTGCCATCTCGCGTGGAGGTCTAGTCTGTCGTCCTTGCCGTCTTCCGCACGGGGAAGAAAAAACGGGGAGGAGGATGAGGGAGACGGAGGAGGGGGAGGAGGCAAGCTAGGTGCGCTCGCGTCATATCTGACGTCCTACCCCTCCCTCCCATCCCTCACCATGGCGTAGATCCCTTTTCTATTCCCACAATCGGATGTCGTAGCATGGCATAGCATTACATGGCACAGCATGGCATAGCTTGGGGGGGGGTCGGCTTCTGCGGCACAAAAAGTCAACGAATCGACACCGAATGTGTAATCACTTCCCATGTTCTTTTCGAGGGGGCATTTTTTCGATTTTGGGGTCTGTTTGGAAGGACCGAAAACCATGCCAGGGCATGGCACTCACAATCATGACGCCAGCGCTGCAGCGGGAGCACGACTCGGAACGAGCGTAAGCGCGGAAATGAAGCCAACGCTGCAGCGGGAGCACGATTCGGAACGAGCGGTAGCCCGAAAATGAGGCCAGTGCTTCAGGGAGAGCAGCGTTTTGAAAGAAAACTAAGCGCGGAAGCGCCGACATGAGGACGCGTAGCCTGACCTAGCATGGCGTGGCGACGCCCCAAAGTGGAGCTTCTGCGGCCACAAAACCAACGAATCGACACCGAATGTGTAATCACTTCCGATGGTTTCTTCGGGGGTCATTTTTTAGATTTTGGCGCCTATTGCTGGGAAGGACCGAAAACCATGCCGTGGCACGGCGCTGGAAATAATGACGCCAGCGCTGCAACGGGAGCACGATTCGGAACGAGCGGTAGCTCGAACATGAGGCCAGTGCTTCAGCGAGAGCCGCATTTTGAAAAAAGCTCAACGCGGAAGCGCGGAAATGAAGACGCGGGTACCCCAACTCCCGGGAATCCTGTGTGTAGAAAACCAGTATGCGGAGGGGGGGCGGACATTCCCCAGACGTCATCAGGGGAGAGACGAAAGTAGTATTCATATTGTCTAATTGTAGAAGGCGGGGGTGGGGGGGAGGGGGAGGAATGGGAGAAGGAGGAGGAGGAGGAGGTAGAGGAGGAGGAGGATGAGGACCAGTGGAAACCCAAGGGTCATCAACGATGTTGGAATTAACCCTCCCTCCAAGCTCAGTCTTTATAGGCCCCTACAACGGTTCATTACCATTGAGGGAATTGCCTCGCTGGAAGACAACAGTTCGAATATTCTGAAAGGTACCAAAGCATTGTCCTTTGGATTTGAACGCCACGTATCATCCTGACTGCTGCGCCTTGACGATCCAGAATCGTGCCAGAATGCCATTACGCCAACATAGCGAATCAACATAACTGTTGCGTCCGCATAATCCCCAATTCTTCCAAGACGCCATTTTTGGTACGTTGATCATGGGAATAAGTGAGACTTTTTGCTAATTTTGAGAACGAGTGTGCGCGGCGCAATGGCGAGAACCACGTTTGAAAAGGAACCGCCCTCAATCCATGAAACTCTTGCAAATGTTTGAAAAGGAATGGGCGCGGCGCTATGGCGAGAGCCGCATTTTGAAAACCATCAACCATCAATCCGTGAACCTCTTGCATGCACAAAAAAAACAAATGTGCGCGGCGCTAATGCGAGAGCCACATTTTGGAAAGGAACCGCCCTCAATCAGAGAAACTCTGGCACTTTTTTTAAACGAATGTGCGCGGCGCTATGGCGAGAGCCACGGTAGTGAAAACCACTGACCATTAACCCGTGAAGCTCGTGCATAAAAAACGAGCGTGCGCGAGAACCGCATTTTGAAAAGGAGCCGCCCTCGATCATTGAAGCTCTGGCATTTTTTTAAACGAATGTGCGCGGCGCTAAGGCGAGAACCACATTTTGAAAGCCACCCGCTCTCAATCCGTGAAGCTCTTGCAATTTGTCAAAACGAATGTGCGTGGTGCTAAAGCGAGAGCCACATTTTGAGAACAACCTTCCCTCCATCTGTGAAACGGTTGTCACGTTCTAAGCCTCAGAGTCATACATGGTGAGGAAGTCTCAGGCGAAACGCCCGGCCCGCCCTAAAAACTGGCCTCGGGGTGCGACAGGGAGGAGTTACCTATAAGGAGAAGGAATGAAATAGGATGAGGAAAAGGAGGAGGAGGAGGTTGAGGAGGAGGAGGATGAGGAGGAGGAGGTTGAGGAGGAGGAGGAGGAGGAAGAGGGAACGGGGGAGGGGAAGGGGGACGAGGAGGAGGAGGAAGAGAGGAGGAGGAGGAGGAGGAGGGAGCAGGAGGAGAAGGAGGAGAAGGAGGAGGGGAGGAGGAGGAGGAGGTGGAGGCGGAGGCGGAGGCGGAGGCGGAGGCGGATCACCAGAAGGAGGAGGAGGAGGAGGAGGAGGAGGAGGGGGAGGAGGAGGAGGAGGAGAAGGAGGATAAGGATAAGGAGGATAAGGAGGATAAGGAGGATAAGGAGGAGGAGGAGGAGGAGGAGGAGAAGCAGGAGGAGGAGGAGGAGGAGGAGGAGGCGGCGGCGGCGTTGGCGGCGGCGGCGGCGGAGGAGGAGGAGAAGGAGGAGGGAGGAGGAGATGTGGCTGGGAGCCTCAAGTCCCCTTTGGTTTTGAACTGCCTGTTTCTTTTCACGAGCGGCGGACATGCCAATGTACACTCCCCTGCGGCCATGTGATCCCATGTATTGGCAGGTTCGCGCCGCGTCAACGTGGTGGCGTCCCCAGCGCTGGCGTTCAAGGTTGAACGCCGCCAGTGCCCAGGAATTCGCTGTCGAGTGACCCGCACCGCCATTGGCGCCGCCGCCGTTACCGCCTCCGCCGTCGTCGTCGTCGTCGTCGTCGTTGTCGTCGTCGTCGTCGTCGTCGTCGTCGCCGTGGTCGTCGTCGTTGTTGTTGTCGTCGCGGTCGTCGTCGTCGCCGTGGCCGTTGGTTGTTGTTTCTGGTTTTTGCATTGTATCGCCCCTGGGCGCGCCGAGGAGTCTGCAGAATGTGGCAGCAGGCAGCGCCCCCGCAGGGGGGCGGAGGGGGCTCAGAAGCCTGCGGCGTGTCTGCTTTCGGGGAAGCGCGCGCGCGAACGCTCCTGGGGGGAGAAGCCGGCGGGGAGGAGGAGGAGGAGGAGGACGAAGAGGAGGAGGAGGCGGAGGAGGAGGAGGCGGAGGAAGAGGAGGAGGAGGAGGAGAATGAGGAGGAGGAGGAAGAGGAGGAATAGGAGGAAGAGGAGGAAGAAGAGGAATAGGAGGAAGATGAAGCATACTATTAGTAATTCTACGAGCAATAATATTCTGAATTCGTAGTACTACTAAGAATATCATTCATACGAATACTAGCACGACTACGATTCATACCAGTAAGGATATTTTGAAACATAATTTTACTAATAAGGCGATCCATACTAATGCCAATACGAATAGGAATCATACTACTACGAAGAAATGGACCAATAGTACAAGTAATGATAATGATCATATTATTCATGCTCAGAAGAGTACGAATCCTACTACTAAGCGTCATCATGATGCTATTAGTAATACATATATTAATACTACGATTCATAATGCTGATGCTACTAAGAATTCGAATAATAAGACGTCGACGACTAATCATAACATTATTCATAACAAAAGAATAGTCGAACACTATTCATAATATTATCAAGGAAAATAGAAGAGGATAAGGATGATGATGCGGAGGACGATGATACTACGAATGCGAAAACTAATGATACTACTTACAGTAATGATAACATTAAACGTAATAGTAATATGACGAACATGATTGATCATACCAACTCAAGTACTACTAATTACTATAATACTACTTCGAATAATGATACTATCAATGACAAAGCGAATAGTGCGAACAAGAGTAGTCTGAATAAACGTAATACTAATACTAATGCTACTAGTACACATAATACTAACACTATAAGGTTATTATGAATACTAAGCGTAACACGAATAAAGATAAGAAGAGGAGGAGGAGGAGGAGGAGGAGGAGGAGAGATGAGGAAAAGGAGCGTGGAAGCGGGCGACGGAGGATGCACGGGGGGAGGATGAAAGCGGGGGGGGAATGGTGGGGATAACGGGAGGAGAAGCCGTAACAGTCGTGGATAAAGGTGGTTGGCCCGAGATGTCTCGGGCTGGAGCAAGTTTGCTGAATGTGGCGTATGTGACCATCTGCTCCCCCGCCCACGGCAGACGTCGCGGCCGCTCGCCTCTGCCACCTCGCGCCTGCCAGGTCGCTGCGACTGGCCTCCGCGACTGCCACGCTCTGGCAGCCGCGGTCTTGACGCAAGGGCTGGCGCTGCTCGATCGGTCTGCCGCACGGCGGCCGCTGGGCCGCTCTGGCCGTGGTGGCGCTGCCGTGGCCTTGTCGCACGTTGCCGGCGCCGCCCAGCGTCCGCCGCCTCTGAGGGAAGCACTGGGATTCTCAGGAGGTGGACTCCGTAGGAGATCCGTGGGATTCCCCAGGAGTTCTCATTCTGGAGCGATCCGCCAGGAAATCCTCCGCATTCCTGCGGGAGTCCTCCCGATGTTGTGCACGAGGACGGCAGGTTTGCCCAACGACTCTCCGCGACATTATGAGAATTGCCGACGATCTCGTCAGGAAACCTTTCGGTTTCCTGACAACTCCTGAGGAAGGCCCCAGGAACACTCAATTTGGGAGTGCCGCCCGCCAGGCCTGCTCGGGGTCCCGACTGTCAGTCCCGCCAGGGAGGCGCTGGAACCTCGTGGCCCAGTTTTGGTTGGGGAGCGCCCCCGCGACGCCCACCTGGGCCGCGCGGGGGCACAACTGCGTTCTGCGCGCACGGCGAAGCAGGCGCAGCCCACCTCCTCGCATCGCTTCGGAGGCGGGGGGGGGCTTAGCCTCACCTGCCCTGGCATTCGTCTGGCGCTCCGCTTAACGCTCCGATCAAGCAGTCGCTCGCCCCCCACGTTGGTCGGCTGCGGCGCGAGCTCCCGAGAGCAGGAGGAGGACGAGGGAGAGCAGGAGGGAGGGGAGAGGCCCCCAGCCTCCCGTTTCCCCATCATCCCGCTCCTTTCGTGCACACCTCCGGCAGTGCCGCCCCTGGCGGACTTTCGAGGACATCCGGGTTCCGAGTTCCTGCTCCGCCTGCAGACATGCTCCGCCTCGCCTTCCCTTCCGTCTGCTTTTCGGACTTTCGGAACTTCCTCGGGGAGGCTGGGGCCACCACCGCCTCGGAGCGGGAAGGGGGGGGGGGGCAGATGGGGCCCCGAGCGGTGGTATAGTGCACGCACGGCGCGCTCGTTCGGGCGCCCACAGTGACGCATCGAGCGCACCTGCGTTTCCGCAGAGCAGCGGGTCGAGCATTCCCCAGGTGATTGTGGTGCCCCAGGAGTGTCAAGGAGGCCATACATCTGCATACCGAACAGCCTGTTTTCGCCCAGTCTTACTCTGACTACGGTCACCAAGGTGCCAGAGAAACATGCGATCTCTTCTCCTAAGCCGCGGCGGTCAGCACTCAAGCCATCCGAAAAAGTGGCTCGCACTGGCAGCTAGCCGTTCGAAGTCGACGAAGAAGGGGCAGGCTCGGGCCAGCCACTGCGGCTGAATGACATTGACACGAACCATACTGAGAACGTCAACATTTCCTCTAGAACGGCGCTCACTGCCGAGACGATCATAATCATATCTAACGAGGAGCTGAAACGGATACGAAGAGACATCACGGCCATCAAAGAACATGGGATCTCGCGGGAGATTCTCGACGCAGCAATGGACCCCACAGAAGCAGACATTGACGACATCACCAAGCGCGTGACGGCATTGGAAATTCGTCCCGACCGTCATCAGCAAATTCTGCAGTGCTCGACGAAGCACCGTGCAAGCTGTTTCTATTGCGCGCCGGATGTTCGACGCTGCGCACGCGGCGACAGCGCGTTGGCATCTCCATCAGGGGTGCCCGCTCTCTCCTTATTTGTTCATCATTCAGTCGGTCATGTTCTTCGACACTGGCAGCAAAATGCATGACAGAGGCGACGCTGTAGAAGAACCACCGTATGTGGTATGCTCTGATCCCTTGTACGCCGACGACACGATGCTCCTCAGCAGCAATACTGACAATTGCAAACTTTACTCGACTACGTCATCGAAGAAGGTGCACGCTACGGCCTGGAATTGAACTGGGGCAAAACAGTCGGTGTGATTGCAAACCCGTCGGGGGCACCAATACGAATGGTTGACAAAGTTGTGTATTGTGGGGGTCTATTGACATCAGACATGTCAGCCAAACCAGAACTAACGCGCAGAATTGGTGAAGCAAAGGCTGTTTCCAAATCTCTGCGCACATGTTGGTCACGCGCGTGTTTTACACGAAGTAGAACATTGAGTTGTTCAAAACATGTGTGGTACCACAACTAATGTACACTCTGGAACAAATTTGGCTACTTCAAGCAGACAAGCGGAAGTTTGATGAGTTCCAAGCGTGGCGTCCCAGGAACATCTTGTCTATTCCATCCTCTTTTGTATCTCGAATTTCAAACAAGACAGTATTGGAAATAAGCGGCGAAGCGGCTGTGAGCACCACACTCAGTGAGAGGCAAACTGCGCTGGATTGTAAAATTGCGGCCCTCCCAGAGGACAGCTTTTCGAAAATGCTTACGTGCGATCCGCATTCAATCGAGCCATGGCGCTGGGATTACCGCCGGGGGCGATGGAGGCCTGAGTAAGCAACGGTGGTGTGCATGCGTTCGCGAACGCTGTGGCGACCATCGGCTCTAGCATATCTGTCCCCCCGCTCCTTCCTCCTCCGCCCCCTCCCTCCCTCCGCCCTCCCCCCCGCGTGGCGCCGATGCGTTTGCAGGTGAATTCGTAGCGCTCTCACTGCCCGCATTTCTCTGCCCGGTCCGAGCCCGGGGCTATCGTTGATGTTTCCAATCGCCCGCATAATTTTTTATATTGCGAATGCGCCGTCTGCACGCCAGGCTTGAGTGACTGACCGAGTTGTTTCTGCGGCTAACGCCAAACTGCTGCAGTTGGAGATGGATGTACCAGCGATGAAGCAGCAACGGGCTACGCCAACACATCGTCAGCGGATTGGGGTCCACGGCACCAGCAGCAGCGTGGATAAGAGGGACATCGCGGCCATCATCGGTAATTCGCACGACTTTGAGACCATAGAGTCCGCAATCAATTGGATCAACAAACAGACCTACTGCGTCTGGGCGCGCCTATGCCAAGCAACTCGTACTGCAATGAAGATTTCAATTATTTGCTGTTCGTGGAGTTGTTATACTAGTTGTGACAGTCGTAGTAGTAGTAGTAGTAGTAGTAGTAGTAGTAGTAGTAGTAGTAGTAGTAGTAGTAGTAGTAGTAGTAGTAGTAGTAGTAGTAGTAGTCGTAGTAGTAGTAGTAGTAGTAGTAGTAGTAGGAGTAGTAGTAGTAGTAGTAGTAGTAGTAGTAGTAGTAGTAGTGTGGTGGGTGGTGGTGGGTGTGGGTGGTGGGTGGTGTGGTGGTGGAAGAGGTAGTAGTAGTTAGATAGTTAGTTAGTAGTAGTAGTAGTAGTAGTAGGAGGAGTATGTAATTTAGTGATAGGAGTAGGAGTGTATATAGTAGTAGTAGTTAGTAAGTAGTAGTAGTAGTAGTAGTAGTAGTAGTAGTAGTAAGTATAGTAGTAGTAGTATTAGTAGTCTATATAGTAGTAGTAGTAATAGTAGTTGTAGTAGATAGACAGTTAATATTTTTAGGAGTAGTAGTAGTAGTAAGTAGTAGTAGGAAGTAGTAGTAGGAAGTAGTAGTAGTAGTGGTAGTAGTAGTAGTAGTAATAGTAATAGTAGTAGTGGTAGAAGTAGTAGCAGTAGTAGTAGTAGTAGTAGTAGTAGTACTAATACTAGTAGTAGTAGTAGTAGTAGTAGTAGTAGTAGTAGTAGTAGTAGTAGTAGTAGTAGTAGTAGTAGTAGTAGTAGTAGTAGTAGTAGTAGTAGTATAGTAGTATAGTAGTAGTAGTAGTAGTAGTAGTAGTAGTAGTAGTAGTAGTAGTAGTAGTCGTAGTAGTCGTAGTCGTTGTAGTAGTCGTCGTAGTAGTAGTCGTAGTAGTAGTCGTAGTAGTAGTAGTAGTAGTAGTAGTAGTAGTAGTAGTAGGAGTAGTAGGGGTAGAAGCAGTCGTAGTCGTAGTAGTAGTAGTCGTAGTAGTAGT